CCTTTTACCCCTGCTCCCTCCAAGACTTTTATCATGAAGGGATGTTGTATTTTGTCAAAGGCTTTCTCAGTATTAAATGAGATGATCATGTGGTTTTTATTATTCAGTTAGTTTATATGGTGGATTATGTTGACAGGTTTTCATATGTTGATTAATCCCTGCATACCTGGAATGATGGCTACTTTATCATGGTGAATGATTTTTCTGCTAGGTTCTTCAATTCAATTTGCCAGTATTTTATTGAGTTTTTTGCATCAATGTTCATGAGTGAGGTTGGTATGTAATTCTCTTTCTTAGTAATGGCTTTGTGAGGTTTGGGTATCAGAGTAATTGTAGCCTCATAAAAAGAGTTTTACAATGTTTCTTCTGTTTCTATTGTGTTGAACATTTTAAGGAGTATTGGTATTAGTTCTTCTTTGAAAATCTTTTAGAATTCTGAGCTGAAACCATCGGGTCTTGGGGTTTTTGTTTGGTTGGTTGGGAGATTTTTGATAACTATTTCTACTTTTTTTAGCAGTTATAAGTCTATTTAATTTTATTATCTTGTCTTTACTTAATTTTGATAAGTGATATTTATCCAGAAAGTTGTCAATTTCCTTTAAGTTTTCCAATTTTGTGGAGTACAGGTTTTCCAAATATGATCTAATAATTCTTGGGATTTCCTCCATGTCTGTTTTATGTCCTCCTTTTCATTTCTGAGTTTGATAATTTGGACATTCTCTCTCTGCCTTTAGGTCAGTTTGGATAAAGGTATGTCTATTTTCTTGATTTTCTCAAAGAACCAACTCTTTGTCTCATTGATTCTTTGTACTGTTTTCTTTGTCTCTATTTTGTTGGTTTCAGCTCTCAATTTGACTATTTCCTGCCATCTAGTTCTCCTGGGTTAGTTTACTTCTTCTTGTTATAGAATTTTCGAGTGCTCTGTTAATTCCCTGGTGTGGAATTTTTCCATCTTTTTATGTAGGCATTTGGTGCAATGAACTTTCCTCTTAACACTGTTTTCACTGTGTCCCATAAATTTGAGTATGTTTGTGATCATTTTTATTGAATTTTAGGAAGTCTGTAAACTCTTCCTTTATTTCTTCCTAAACCCATTGGTGAATCAGATGAGCATTATTTAATTTCCATGTGTTTATGCGTTTTCTGGAATTACTGGAATTACTGTTGCTGTTGAATTCTAATTTTAAACCATGGTGATTCGATAAGATATGTGAGCTTATTCCAAATTTCATTTCTGTTTTAAGTTTGTTTGTTACCTAGCATGTGCTCAGTTTTTGAGAAGGTTCCATGAGGTGCTGAGAAGAAGGTATAATTCTTTTATGTTTGGATGGAATAGTCTATAAATGGTTGTTAAGTCAATTTGATTCATAACATCTGTTAATTCCTTATTTCTATGCAATTTTCTGCCTGACAGACCTGTCCAGTGGTAAGAGTAGGGTGCTAAAGTTTCCCACTATTAGTGTATGGGATTTAATGCGTGATTTAAGTTTTAGAAGTTTTTCTTTTTGTTGTAATAGGAGCAGCGGGGCTGCGTCCCTGGCACCCAGCCGCCCGCATGGCTAGCTTATGCCCCAAAATAATTACATGGAAACTGTATTCTTTTAAAGACTGCCTGGCCCATTAGTTCCAGCCTCTTATTGGCTAGCTCTTACATATTGACCTAACCCATTTCTAATAATCTGTGTAGCCCACGAGCTGGCTTACCAGGAATGATCTTAACCTGCGTCTGCCTGGAGTGGGAGAATCATGGCGACTCCTAGACTCAGCTTCTTTCTCCCAGCATTCTGTTCTGTTTACTCCGCCTACCTAATTTGATGTCCTATTAAAGGGCCAAGGCAGTCTCTTTATTTAACCAATGAAATTAACACAAAACAGAAGACGCTCCCCCATCATCTTTTACATATAAGGATAACCTTGTATTGGGGGCATAGTTGTTCAGTACTGAAATTTCCTCTTGAAAGATTTTTCCTGTGACTAATATGAAATGTCGTCTTTGTCTCTTTTGATTGATTTTAGTTTGAAGCCTATTTTTTTAGATATTATGATAGCTATACCAACTTGTTTCTTTGGTCCATTTAATTAAAAAAAAATCCAACCCTTTACTCTGAAGCAACATCTGTCTTTGAGGTTGAGATGTGTTTCTTGTATGCAGCAGAAGGATGAATTCTGTTTTCATATCCAATCTGTTAACCTGTGTCTTTTTATAGGTGAGTTGAGTTCATTTATATTAAGGTATATTGATGACTAATGATAGTCAGCTCCTGTTATTTTAGTTTTCATTGTTGGTGATGTTATTGTGTGTGTTTTTCTCCCTCTTTGGGATTTTCTGCTGTGTTACTGTCTGTGTGTTTTTTGATGTAGTAAACTTCCTTGGGTTGGAGATTTTCTTCTAGTCTGAGCTGACGTCCATGGTCTCTTAATGTCTGCACAACACTTGACCAGGACCTTCTGGCTTTCATTGTTTCCATTAAGAGGTCAGGTGTAATTCTGATAGTTCTGCCTTTGAATGTTACTTGTCCTTTTCTTTTTGCAGCTCTTAATATTCTTTCTTTACTCGATATGTTTTAGTGTTTTGATTATGATATGACAAGGAAACTTTTTTGATCCAGTCTATTTGGTGTTCTGTAAGTTTCTTGTATCCTTGTAGGCATGCCTTTCTGTAGTTTGGGCAAGTTTTCTTCTCTGCTTCTACGGTGGGAAGCATGGTGGCATTCCCAACACACATTGTGCTAGAGGTAGCCAAGAGTTATACATTTTGATCTGCAGGCAGCAAGAAAAGAACTGAGTGAAGCATGTTGAGATTTCAAAGCCCAACCCCTAGTGACACACTTCCTCTAATCAATCTATGGCTATTCTAACAAGGTCATACCACCTAATAGTACCATTCTCTATGGACCATGGAAGGGACATTTTTATTTAAACCAACACAATCCCCTTGAGCTCTGGAATTAGCTTCTTTACACTTCATGGTGCTCTTTTTTCCTCAAACTGTACATATTATACTTTTCCATGCTCAGCTTGCTCCTTTTTATTATGCATAAGAGTGATCACTAATAACCATGTAACACACTCAATTTTAAGCTGTCTAGAAATAACCTCTTCCAGGATCATTAATCCAAAACTCTTCAAATTAGCATCAGGAGATTTTTGGCGCCCAGGATACCCAGTTCTTCTGCAAAATACAAGAAAAATCTCTAAGCTATTTGTTCATATTCTTCTCCTCTGAAACCTCTTGAGATGGGCCATCAAATCTACACTGTTTGCATCACCACTGCCTTCTATTAGGATGGTTCATTAAGCCCCACTTAAATCATCCAATTACTTTGCAAGTCCAAAGTTCCAAAGTCTTCCACATTCCACCAAGAAGCATCATGGTCAGTCCTGACATAGCAATATCCCATGCCTGCTATCATCTTCTGACTTAGTCATTGTTCAAATGCTGTGTACCAACACCATAACCACAGCAGCTCTTATAAAAGGGAGCCTTTAACTGAGGCTTGCTTACAAGTTCAGAGGTCTAGTCCACTGTCATTATGGGTGGAAGCAGGACAGAATGCAGCCAGACATGGTGCTGAAAGAGTAGCTGAGAGTTTTACATCTGGGTCTGCAGGTAGAAGGAGAAAAGCCATTTGGCCTGGCTTGGGTTTTTGAAACTTCAACACCTACCCCCAGTGACACACTTCACTTCCTTCTACAAGATCATACATCCTAATCTGTCCAAAGTAGTGCCACTTCCTGACATCTAAGTATCAAAATGTTTGTGACTTTTAAGGGGCATTTTTATTTAAGCCACTCCAATATGCGTGGCATGCATGTGGAAATCAAAGGCAACTTTGGAAGATCATCCAAAACCTCCAGGTGATCTTAGGCCATCTGCATCATGTGCACAAGCCCACAAACATGCACACATACACATAACTAAAAATTTTAAATCTTCTTTAATAAAAATTAACCTTTAAAAAGAATCAAATGTCTATATATGAAGTGAATGCCTTCCGACAATCGTTGTGTTAACACGTTTAAGCGATCCCCTTTTTGATGATTGTTGTTTTTTTCCAAAAAAGATCTGACAAAGGCAAGACTGTCCCCTAACTTGCCAAGTAGCTAAGTCTGACTCTGTACTCTTATTTCTCCTGATTCTACATCCCAAGTTCAAGAACTACTGATGTGTGCCACCATGTGGCAAACTGTTAGAATGCAATACTTACTTATTAAAATGCCTTCAGACAGAAAATAAAATAACCAGAGAAGTCAGTTCACTGGGTAGCTCCATTTGACCCCCATATCTCAAAATACCATTACAAGGAAAGAACTTGAGAAACCCCTTCATAACTCACTAAACTTATATTGAGAGAGAGAGAGAGAGAGAGAGAGAGAGAGAGAGAGAGTCTGGGAGTGTGGGTGTGCATGTGTCATGGAGCAGAGATGGAATTGGAGAGTCAGTCATCACCCTCACTCTGCTTGAGATCACATTTCTTCACAGATGCATTAGCCAGGCCAGATGCCCCACGAGCTCCTGGAAAGTGTTGTCTGTCTCTCATCTGATAATAGGGGTGCACTGGGATTATAGATGCTTGTGCTACAGCATCCAGCTTTTATGTGGACCCTGGGAATCCAAACTCAAATCATCAGGCTTGAGCAACAATTTGTTTACCCAGTGAATCAGCTCTCCCAAGCCCAAGAAATATTTCATGTGAATTCAATATTGTGACCAAATTGAAGATGTATATTGTAAGTGAGTATATAAGTTTCATGAAAGGGGAAATAATGATATCAGAATATGCAAAACAACACACAATTGAATTAGGAGGAGAAACTGTAGCTTTGTTCATGTCACATTGCAGAAAATACACGGTAGTCACGTTATTCCCCATAAAGCATTCTTTCGTTTGATGTCTGAAGTAACAAGGGATATCTATTAGGCTAAACTACTCAAATGAGTGGAGAAAGTGGACAAAAGAAAACTAACCTGGAATAACAAATATACATGCTTTCACCAGATGCAGATCAGTGTGTGAAGTGTCTAGATCATCAATATGCCAACACAGACCGAAGCCATTGCCTCCAGAAATCTATGACTTTCCTGGACTATGACGATCCCCTGGGGAGAGGTCTGTCATGCATAGCCTTGTACTTCTCTGCACTGTCAGCTCTCGTTCTTGGTATCTTTCTGAAGCAGCAAGACACGCCCATCGTGAAGGCAAATAACCGCACTCTCAGCTACATCCTGCTCATCACCCTTAACTGCTGTTTTCTCTGCTCTTTTCTCTTCATTGGCCACCCCAACACAACCACGTGCATCCTGCAGCAGACCACATTTGGAGTGTTGTTCACTGTGGCTGTTTCCACCATCTTGGCCAAAACTATTACTGTGGTTCTGGCCTACAAGGTCACTGCTCCAGGAAGAAGAATCAGGTGGTTGTTGGTAACACGGGCACCTAACTTCATTGTTCCCATCTGCACCTTCATCCAGATTATCTTGTGTGGGGTCTGGCTGGGAAAATCTCCCCCCTTCATTGACACAGATGCACACTCTGAGCGTGAACACATTATCATCCTGTGCAACAAGGGATCAGTCACTGCTTTCTACTGTGTGCTGGGATATCTGGGCGCTCTGGCCTTGGGAAGCTTCACTGTGGCTTTCCTGGCCAGAAACCTACCTGACACCTTCAATGAAGCCAAGTTCCTGACATTCAGCATGCTGGTGTTCTGCAGTGTCTGGGTCACCTTCCTCCCTGTCTACCACAGCACCAAAGGGAAGGTCATGGTGGCTGTGGAGGTCTTCTCCATCTTGGCATCCAGTGCAGGGCTCCTTGGTTGTATCTTTGCCCCCAAGTGCTACATCATTTTGTTCAGACCACAAATAAACTCTATTCAGGGTCTCAGGAACAAAATACATTATAGGTACAAGGCTTAATAAATTTAGTATTAACTTTCAAGTTAGCACGTGAAGGAGATTTCATTATTACATTTTCATACATATATTTGTTCCTATTCATCTGTCTCACAAACTGATACTGCATCCCCTCTATTGACCTCTTTCTGTTTCTTCCTTATCTTAAAACAATCCTCATTTTTACACTCATGTCTGTGTTTCTCTACCACCTGCCTTTTCCCACCTCACCTTTCATACTTTCACTCCCCTTTGGACACCTTCTACTTTCAGGCTGAGAAAAGAGAGAGAGAGAGAGAGAGAGAGAGAGAGAGAGAGAGAGAGAATGCCACCTCCCTGTGGTATTTATACTTATGACTATGGCTTAAGTCACCAAATTTAATAATCTCTGGTTCCAAAATTTTCCTTTTAAATGTCATGACTTTCTTCTACTTTAAGACTGAAGAAATGTCACTGTTAATATGCTCCATATTTACTTTATCTATTCACCTGATAATGGATAGCTATCTGTGTGCTTCCTTTACTTATCACCATGAAAGTACAGCAATAATCATGGATGTGCAATTATCTCTGTAGTTGCATCTGGGTATATATACCTAGGAGTGGTATGGTGGATTGAATGGTACTTCTTCTTTTAATTTTGTTAAGAACTTCTACATTGTTTTCTACAGTGGCACAAACATCCTACTAAACATGTAACAAAATTCATTAAGGAAAATATAAGGTGTTGGGTCATCTTTCGAAGGAGACAATGAACTTCTGGTGCTGACTTTCCCTGTGATCAAAGCTGCTGTTGAAATTCACCACCACTACCTCTTCAAAATCCAGGAGAGACATACCAACTAGGAGAGGTGTGACTACAAGCACAAAATACAAGAAACATAAGATAGGAAGTCAACACAATTTCCATGAAAGAGTTCAACTGGTGAACTCAACATTCTGAAATAGGTAAACTATCAGATGAACATTCTGGTGTAGAAAGTCCTTCTATCTATGTGTTGCTTTCATTGGTTAATAAGGGACCTGCTTTGAGCTGTAGGTAAACAGAGCAAGATGGGGAAAACTAAAGGGAATTATAAGAGAAAGGAGGGCAAAGTCAGGAGATGCCATGAAGCCACCACTAGAGGAGACAAACGTGCTGAAATGTTTCTGGTAGGCCACAATCTTGTGGTGATAAACATATTATTAGAAATGGGTTAAATTAAAATGTAAGAGTTAAGAGTAAAGCTAATGAGCCGAGCCAAACAGTGATTTAATTAATACAGTTTCTGTGTGGTTATTTTGGTTCTGGATAGCCAGGACAAACAACCATCTCCTCCAACAAATTGGCACCCATGTGGCCAAGTAAATCCATGTAAAACCTGAGAGGGCTTGAAAAGGAATTCTAGACAAAAAAAAAAAATACAGAGTTTAACACAGCTTCTTGCAGTTCGCTGGCAGCTTCCTGCAACTCCTTTAAGAGAGATTTTCCTGATTCAGCCTAAGCAGGGAAAAAGCCATGGCTGTTTTTAATTGCTGGCTTTCTATGCCATGCTGCCAGCAAGGTCTCTATCTGTTTCAGGACACCATGTATTTGGATGGGGTTTGTGAGCAGTGTGCTGCAACTTGCTTGATGGCAACGTGAACCAGCTTTGTGCCTGGAAATAGTGTGGTATGCACCAGCTCAGAGGTGCAAGCTGCTCTGCCATGCTAAACTGTGTGGAGCAAGCAGGAAGTACCATATATATTATAGTAATGATGCAGCTTAAGTTTTAGACTGGGCTGGAAAGCAGGAAGTACCATGTATGCCATACTAATGGCACGGCTTACGGATTAAGAAGTGCTTAGCATTTTCAAAAGCTCTCTTGGACAGTAAAAAATTACAGATATGCAATAAAGACAATTCCAGATGAGTCATAGTGTTGAATAAATGTACATAGGCTTGGGAGAGAAATGAAAAAGAGTATAGAGAGTTGAAAAAGACTAACAGTCATAGATTAAAAGAGTAAATATAATAAAATAAATATTAAAAAGCAAGAGAGTAAAAATAAGTCATGTAAGGATGGAAAATTCACAAAGAGTCTGGATTATGTATATTATTGTGTTATCTTTGAACTTTTTGACTGTGAATAAGTACAGAGACATTTTATTGTATGGGCTGCTAAGCTAAACCAGCATATATATATATATATATATATATATATATATATATATATATATATATATTTTTTTTTTTTTTTAAAGGTATCTTGATTTCAGAATATGGGTCTAAGGATATGTTGCTTTGGGAAAGAGGTTCTTTTGTTTTCATAGAAGATGAAAACCCATGGATTGCCTCCAGACTGATATAGTTTGATGGAATAAAACCACCTGAAAGGTTGCTGTAAACACCCCCAAAAGAAAATACTTTACCCAATAAACAGCAGGAATCAGTTTGGAGAGAAATAACTAGACCCATATTCCCAAATATTGTCTAGAAATGTTTGTTTATATTTAAAGGGGAATATGCTATAGAGATGGATATTTGCACTGGTATGGATGTTGTTTTATTGATACAATTTAATGTCAATTTTGTTATATATATATGTATTTATGTATGTATTTCTCCTCTTGATTAAGGTATTGTGATTGTGTAGTTCATTTAAAATTGTAATGTATAATTAAGAAATACAGGTTAATAGATAATCATTTATAATAGTCAAGCTTGTAGTCATGTTAGTTAGATTTTCTAGATATATATATATGTGTGTGTGTGTGTGTGTGTGTGTGTGTAACACAGCTAGTTACATATTCTTTAAATCTTTCAAAGCCCACAGAATATGGCATTTAAAGTATTTTAATAATTTAGGACTTTTCATGACAGTGAGACACATTTGCTCCTGGCAGCACCAAGTACTTCAAAAGAAAGATGGGCATTGAAGAAGCTCCTTATGGAGTTTGTTAAGTAAACTGGATGCAGGAGCCACAGAGAAATGACTGCTCAACTTGCCTAAAGGGGAGATGGTCCTTTGGAGTTCCTGCTTCATGAAAGAGTCTGCCAGACATTCTGCAGGACACAGAAGAAGTTACTGACAAACTGCCAATATAGGCTGAACTGTCTTTGAAATTTCCTGCTTCATGAAAGAGTCTGCTGTATACTATGGGCCAGCAGGCTGAAGATGTATGCCCCAACAGTACAGAGGAACTTTGGGTGACTGTCCAGGCAGTGAGATGTCTCTGTCAGTTCTAAAATTTTGGAAGCTGCTTGCAATGCACTTCCTGTTTATTTAGGTAATATCATATCCTTCTGGAGTCTTGGATGGAGTTGAAGAATTTATTGTTATTGTTTTCCTTAGTTATGATAAAAATAAAGAAGATATAAATATTGTAACTGTAGTTCTTTTTCTATACCTGTGTTGTTATATGTAGTTTTGCAATGTTAAAGTTAAAGCTTTCCTTTTTGTTTAAACAGAAAAGGGGAAATGGCATAGGAGGTCCTTCTGTCTGTGTGTTGTGTTCATTGGTTAATAAAGAAACTGCTTTGGGCCTATAGCAGAGCTGTAGGGGAACAGAGCGAGGTGGGGAAAACTAAACAGAATTCTGGGAGGAAGAAGGGCAGAGTCAAGGAGACTCCATGAAGCTGCCACCACTGGAGACTGACGTGCTGAAATTTTGCTGTTAGGCCACAACCTCTCGATGATAAACAGATTAATAGAAATTGGTTAAATTAAGATGTAAGAGTTAGCCAATACGAAGATAAAGCTAATGGGCCAAGCCGTACTTTAATTAATACAGTTTCTGTGTGGTTATTTTGGTTCTGGGTGGCCAGGAGGAACAAGCACCTCCTCCAACAACATTCCAAAAGTTTTCTTGCAAAAAATGATCAAAGACTCAAAGAAGGATATCCACAGGCAGATTAATTCCACACATACCATAAATACCTGTAGACAAAGTCATAAATACAGAGGAAAATGGCAAAAACAATAAGCAACATGAGAGAAAACTTTAGTAATGAGAATGTAATGAGAAGTGAAAAACGTGCTGAAAGTGAAAAATAAATCAAATAAAAAAGCACAGTGGGGAGCAAGAACAATGGACTCAAAGAAGCAAAAGAAAAACTGCCAGATGGATAATGGTGGAAAAATAATACATATAGACACCAAGAAGCAAAAAATAAATGAGCATGACCACAATGTCCATGAAAGATCAAACCCAAGAACCCACCGAACTAGAAGGAGTAACATAAACACAAAAAGTGTAGGATATGCATTCAACAATATTACAGCAAAAAAAATTCCCAAGCCTGGAAAACATTCAGACATTCAAACACAAAACGCATTCAGAACCCCAAACAGACATGACCAGAGAAGTACGTTCCATGGCATATTACAGTCAAGATGTCAAAAATACAAAGCAAAGAAACAATATTTAATGCTGTAAAGGAAAAAGCACCAAATCACTTGGAGGTCCCAGTGGGTAGGGCGGCCTTTCCGTATGGCCCTAGGTCATGCTTTGAAAGCCCCTAGTCCACAATCTGACCTCTCCATGCCATGCTAAAACTGGCTCCTGGGCTACAATGGCTGCATCTTGGTGAGTCCCTTTTTCTTGTCTATGCTATAGGGCTTTGGGGGGACCCATTGGTACTTATTTTGTTGATTATCGGACTCTTATTGAAGCCACCAGCTCATGCCAAGAGTTTAATCTCAGCAGTGGCTAGACTGGCAAGACCAGGCCTGGCTGGAGTGGATTTTTTTGTGCCAGGGATACCTAGCATTCCATTTCCACGACCCCATTAGGCCTTATAGCTATTCTAGTTGGCATGCTGTAATAGACTTATGCCACTTGGTTGGGCATAGACTTTATGCCTCTTACAAAATCTTTATAAATTGGGCCTGTTCAATACAATGTCCCAAACAGCTAATTTCCCTATGCACTAAAATTTGTGTTACCATAAAGACAAATGGGCAGGGCTTACATATGTCCATGGTTTGGGGGCTCTGTGCTCTCACCCTTTTCTTAGTAGCCAGTGTCTCATAGCATCAGTCTTAGTGGCTAAGGCCACAATG